CCGGCGCGCCCGGGGCCACGTGGTGCCGGCCCCGCGGCGGGATTCCTGAGGACGCCGCCCTGAAGCTGCCGGCTCCGCTGTGCCTGAACCTCAGGCCGGAGGTTCGCCCGAGACGTGGAGCAGGGCCAGCCGGATGTCGAAACAGGTCGCCCGACCCCGTCCTTTGTCCCGAGGGCGGTGCCGAAAGACCCGAGCCACGAGGTGGAGATTGGTTAAGAAAGCCGCGGCCCAAGCCGCCCACTTTGCTGCTGGGATTCTCATTAATGGCAGGCGCTGAGCTCTGCCACCGCCTGGCGTTGGCATTGACTGGAGCGAAACGAGGGGCGTATTTTTCTTGAGAAAGAGCGAGGCTGCTGTGGTGAGGATGTCTAAGCAGAAGGCAGGCACCCTCCTGAGAGCTATTCAGTCTTAAGCTTTTCAAGCGTTGTTATCTTTTGGTGGATGCACCCAGGGAAGCTCTCAACTTACTGGAGGATCACTCAGTGTTATAAACTCTAAGTCCATCCAGGTTGCTGCGAAGTTCATGATTTTGTTCTTCTTTATGGCTGTGTAATATTCCATTGTGAATATGTAGAATTTATAATACTGAGTGATCTTTCACAGAAACAAAGAGCTGAGTATCACATGTTCTCACTCATAAGTGGACCTCGAACAACTACCTTTATACTATAACAAAAGAATTGACAGCGGGAAACTGCGGGGGGCGGGGGTGGGGTGGGATTGACAGTAGCTGAGATCTTCCTGGGGAGGCAGGCGCACACCTCATCAACAAGGGTACCTGCACAATGAATATTTGTATGCCTCACCCTGAATTGTACCCCACAATTTAAAAAAGTTAAAAAAGAAAAAACAAAACTTACTGGAGCCTGATATCCTTGTATAAAATGCTTTCCTTGTCACACAGTTACAGCAACATCCTTGGCGGAGAAAAGAAAGGAGTCCCTTGCACGATTGACCACTCACCTGCGCCCAGAACCCTACTCGAACAGGTATCTCTCCTTTAAAACAAGCAACAAAAATCTCCTCGTTCCCTAGATGATACTAATCGACCTACTTATTATTGTGACTGTTTCTTTTTTTCTTCCTTTTGAGTCAGAGTCTCACTCTGTCGCCCAGGCTGGAGTGCAGTAACAGCCTCGACCTGATGAACTCATGCGATCCTTCTGCCTCAGCCTTCCAAGTAGCTGGAACTGCAGGCGTGCGCCACCACGCCCGGCTAGTTTTTTATTGTAGAGAGGAGGTCTCATTATGCTGCTCAGGCTGGTCTCCAGCCCCTGAGCTCAGGTAATCCTACTTTCTGTTCATGGCAAGTATTAACAACACCTAAAACTAGGAAATCACTTAAGAAAAAGGAGAGCAAAAAATAAACAGCTCCTAAAAATGTGCCCTTTGAAAGAAAGACTTGCAAAGTGATGAGGAAATTTGCTTTTCAAATTAGCTTCAGAAACACTTAACCCATGAAGTTCCAGAGAACTCATATCTAAGAACCTTTGAGCTTTTGGAAACCTACCGAAATTTTTATGCCTGGTGGGAAAAATATGAATGGACTCCAGAAAACTAACGGATATTAATACATATTTAATTAATATTTTTCTTTTGAAAATATAACATGTCAACTGCTTCTCACTTCAGTAGTTACATTTAACTATGCATGTTGTATATTTATGTAACATATGGCACTTAGGGGCCAATAGGGTCTAAAACAATTTCAATTAGTTTTACCTCCTAATATTTGCTGCCATTCTTTGCGTGGCATAAACGTGAACCTTTTATTTTAGTGTTTCTGTAGTAAAGAATTCTTTAAAACATTGCGCCAAAATACATGCTCTAAATCAGGCCTTTTGTATTCTCAAACTGAGAAAACTGTATTGGATAGCAGCTTAGCATTATCTACTAAGGATTTAAAATACCCCCTTCCTATGACTCAGTAATTTTATCTGTAGAAAATTTAACTTGTGAGGATTTATCCTTTAGATGTATTCTGATATAAGCCATCTCTCCAGGTGTGATCCTTTTATAAAACACAGAGTACATAGTTTTATAACAAATACCTCTTAAACACTGTGAAAATGCCACTGTAGTTTTTGCCTATATGCACACAACTCTCTACCACTCTCATTAAAGTCAGGCTGTGACTGAATAGCAAAAATGGCACAGTAACAACTTGAGAGAGATGTTTTTTAAACCTCTGTTGCTATTTTTAATAGCAAAAAAAAAAAAAGGGAAACAGCTTTATTCATTATTTAAAGACTGGCTAACCAGTTATGATACCTCTCTGTGTTGGCTACACTATGACCAAGAAATAGAAAGAGATTGAGGTGAGCTGGTAAATCATAACTTCTAATTTCTAAAACTATAAAGCAAAGCAATGTCTAAATTAAGCTTTCACTGTTTCAAAAGAGTATATTATGTGTTGCATTATTTTTAGATATTTATGGTTTAGTATGTATAAAAATCCTCTGGTAGTAGAGACCATGGCTCTGCAGTAGAAAGGTAATGGTCTTTACATTTTATTCACTTTTATGTTCAAGTTTTATACTATGGGCATATATTATTAATACCTTTCAACAAAAATAATACTACCAAGAAACCTAATTTAGAAGCTTCAGTTAGTTAGAAAAAATATTTTAAAGGAATAACTGATAGCCATTATAAAACCAGTAAATGCCATATAGTTTGAGGGATGTGATAGTTTTTCACGTGAATTAGTTTGTAAGCAACAAAATAACTTTATAAGTCTTACTGAAAAACTATTAATTCCTCTTGGGAATGAGGTTCAGCAAGGGCAGATGTTTGGAGGAAAAGGAAGACATACTTTTTTCAATTTTACATTTCTTTACTGTTTGATTTTTGTTTTTTGTTTTTTGGTTTTTTTTTGAGTTACAGTCTGACTCTGTCACCCAGGCTGGAGTGTAATGTCATGCTCATGGCTATCACAGCCTCAACCTGCCGGACTCAGACAATCCTTCTACCTCAGCCTTCCAAGTAGGTGAACTACACCCGTGTGCCACCATGCTCAGCTAATTATTATTATTATTATTTTAATTGTAGAGGCAAGGTCTCACCAAGTTGCCTAGGCTGGTCTTAACCCCTAGGCTCAGGCAGTCTTCTCACCTCTGCCTCCCAAAGTGCTGGGATTACAGATGTGAGCCACCATACCAGGTGTGATCCTTTTATAAAACACAGAGTACATAGTTTTATAACACATACCTCTTAAACACTGTGAAAATGCCACTGTAGTTTTTGCCTGTATGCAAACAACTCTACCACTCTCATTAAAGTCAGGCTGTGACTGAATAGCAAAACTGGCACAGTAACAACTTGGGAGAGATGTTTATAAAATGTATTATTATTATTACCAAGCATAAATATAGGCAATGATTAGATCTGTTTTATTTTACCTCAAATAAAAAAAAAAATTTGCTCTTCCTTGGCCTTTTGCCTTTGAATTTATGAGACTTATAAAGGTAATTTTAGACTGGGCGTGGTGGCTCACACCTATAATCCCAGCACTTTAGGAGGCCAAGGTGAGAGGATTGCCTGAGCTCACAGGTTCGAGACCAGCCTGGGCAACTTGGCAAGCCCTCATCTCTACAATAAATCAAAAAATTAGCTGGGCATGGTGGCACATGCCTGTAGTTTCAGCTACTTGGAAGACTGAGGCAGAAGGATCGCCTGAGCCCAGCAGGTTGAGGCTGCAGTGACTGTGAGTGTGCCACTGGCTTCCAACCTGGGCAACGTGAAATTCCAACTAAAAAATAAGTGAATGAAAAATAAAAATAAGATAATTTTGAGTACAAGGGGAAGAAGATGTTACAAGTTCTTAATTGGGAGGCTTATAGATTACTACAATGGGCCAAAGCCCTCCATATATTATGACACTTCACTGATGAATATAAAAAGTTTTTAAGGTAAAACAAAAATCAACTAAATTTAGTTTTGGTGTAACATAATTTAAAATGATGTCTTGAGAATAAAAACATCTAAATACTGTTGATAGCGCTATTGAATTTACATTTCTAGCACAATTGCTTTTTTTTTTTAGTGATCAATACAGAGATAAGTGGCATGCTCACTCTAACATATATAATGAGTATATAGACTGAGAACTGAACATAGTTTTAGGCGTTTGGGATGAAAAGTGACACCAAAATCGTTAGGATGTACTTCACAGTGATATAAAACAAGCCGAATACGAGGGAAAAGCACAATGAAGTACAAACTCTGGCATTTTTGAGTAAAAGTTAAGCAGCTGAATTTCAGAGTCAGAATGCTTGGGCTTGAAACCCAACTCTAGGATCTGCTGTCTCTGTGATCTTGAAAGGGCCATTTACTTAATCTCTAAGTCTGTTTCCCCTTCTGTAAAATGGGTAAAATAATAGTACTTGGTAGTTCTCAAAAATAGGTTCTTACAAGCTCATGGCAGGCCAGAGAAAGTATATAAGTATACTAAGTGAGAATCATTTGGGAAAGAGAGCAACTTTTGTTATTTTTCTATCAAATATACTCATATTTGCAGTATCCTTGGAAAGGAATACTATGCAGAGATCATCTCGTCCAATGGAGAAAGTGGGTAGCATTTTATCCAGATGTGCAGAAGTCTCACTCAGCTGGTAATGCAGCAACTGAAAAACTCTTGCTGATAGATTATACCAGAGAGAAAGTATTTTAGGAGGACAATATTCCATGCTGCAGAACTGCCTGGCTCATTGCAGAGCATTTAACCGTCCTGGTGGCCAGTGGCCCAATCCCACATATTTCCAAACACAGAAAGATAAGCCTCAGCTGAGAAC